TTGAGAAAGGAATTAATGAACATAAACGTGATGTTAGATATGCCAGAGATTCAAATACGTGTTTCGTTCATTTGTGAGATGAAGATCACCAGCTTAACTGGAAAAACGCTAGATTAATTCATAAATCAGCTATTTCGTACGAAAGGAAAATTATAGAATCTCTATTGATTAGCAAAATGTCTAACTTTAACTTGAGTGCTGGTCAATGCGGCTTGGATGACCTTACCTCCTCTTTAGTAAAGCCTTCCCCAGACTCTTCGCTCCTGTGTGTGTGTATAAACAAACACCAGTTGATATACAGAAGGCCAACTCAAATCTTTCCCCTTCCCCTGCAGCCCGAGGCCCGCGAGTGTGGGAGTTCTTGGTTCGCCTGTTAGTCGATCCTCAAGCCAATCCTTCCCTTATAACGTGGGAGGACGAGGCAAGTGGGACATTCCGGCTTGTCCAGAAGGAGCGCATTGCCGAGATGTGGATACAGAGGTCGAGGGAAGGAGGACTCTCTTACAACAACTTGGCACGCACAATGAGGTGAGTTTTTTTTTTTTTTTTTGAGGGGGATGACATGTTCTCTCTCTTTCGTTTTCGGTACCCCCCCCCCCCAACACTCTCTCTCTCTCTCTCTCTCTAAAACTCACTTTTGGTCTTTCTCTCTCTCTCTCTCTCTTACTCACTTTTGCTCTCTCTCTCTCTCTCTAACTCACTTTTGCTCTCTCTCTCTCTCTCTAACTCACTTTTGCTCTCTCTCTCTCTCTCTCTAACTCACTTTTGGTCTCTCTCTCTCTCTCTCTCTCTAACTCACTTTTGCTTTCTCTCTCTCTCTTACTCACTTTTGCTCTCTCTCTCTCTTACTCACTTTTGCTCTCTCTCTCTCTTTCTCTCTAACTCACTTTTGGTCTCTCTCTCTCTCTCTCTCCCTCCCTCCCTCTCTCTCTAACTTACTTTTGCTCTCTCTCTCTCTCTCTCTCTCTCTCTCTCTCTCTCTCTCTCTCTCTCTCTCTCTCTCTCTCTCTCTCTCTCTCTCCCTCTCTCTCTCTCTAACTCACTTTTGGCCTGCTTCCTCATCTCATATTTTCATCTGACTCACTATTTATCTATCTATCTCGTAGTCACTCATTCACTTGCCTATGCGTATTTCTAACGTAGATTGTGAAGATATTCATTCTCGTTCATACCTTTTCTATATTTGTCAACATTGATAGTGTGTTGTGTGTGTGTGTGTTTATTTATTTATTCATATATATGAATATATGCGTATATACATATATATATATGTGTGTGTGTGTGTGTGTGTGTGTGTGTGTGTGTAGTATATTTCACATGTTTTATATAAATCCACATGTATCTTCATTAACGTCCCATTTCCTTCCAGATATCACTACGCAAACGGCGCCCTTGAACCAGTCATGGAGCGCCAACTGGTCTACCGTTTAGGACCACAGGCTAAAGAATACCTGGAAAAACTCAGAAATCAGCGTTTGTAGATACTAGAGAGTAGTTGTGGGACAATGAACCCCGTTGTTATTATGTGCATTATATGAGTAAAAAAAAAAAAAAAAAAAAAATCCGTATGGACGATTTTTTTATATTGTTTTTTTAAGTATCGATCTTGAATTTGAATAAAAAAATTCTAAAGGTTGAAATTCTATTCCCTGGTCTATTTATGTGGACCCCTAATTATATTAAAAAAAACGATGTTGATAACTTTAAAATTGATATTGGGTTGGAAATTATTACATTATTTTCGAAATAACTAATAACTAATAATCAATAATAATGCAACAATGATAAAATAAGAATCATATAGAATAATCAGGGTTGATACTAAAGGGTTTAAGAAACGGAAGTATTTAAATCTATTACTATTCACTACTCGTCCATGATATTATCATATTTTGCTATTCAACACACTATAATTATCAGTTTATTTTATGAAATTAATTCCAACCCTTCTGTGAGCATGTTTAAATTGTGTTATTATTTCTATTTTATATCAAACATGAGAAGTAGGGAGGAAAAATATACGATAACTTACTAAAGACTGTTATGAGCGTTGAAAATTACTGGAACCTTTAACCGGAAAATTCGTGCCGGAGACATCTTGCCTTATTACTTTTACCTGTCTGATGCAAAGAAGTTACTTTTATTAACAGAAACATTAATTTTTGTCCGTGAAAAAAGAAAAATAGATTCTAAATCCCAAAATCCACTAAATCATCCACATTTAGACAAGCCAACTATTCATGGTCATCAATTTTAGTCCAATTCATTCAGATTTCCGTTTTCTTTTCTATGTTTACTGAATATTCGTAGAGAGTCACGTCACTTAGATTATAATGGTTGAGCACGAATTTAATTATCATTACAAATCACTTGTAATATTTCTAGGTCTATTCATCCTTGTTCAGGTTGACGATGAAATTCAGAGTATAGTTGGAATAATTCATCAGAAGTAATTTGATCATATATTGTAGTTTACTATAAATGTATAGATCATATACATAAATATGAGTGTGTGTGTGTGGGTAATGATATATGTGTATGTTTAATATATGTATATATATATATATATATATATATATATATATATATATTATATATATATATATTATATATATATATATTATATATATATATATATATTATATATATATATATATTATATATATATATATAATATATATATATATATAATATATATATATATATATTATATATATATATATAATATATATATATATAATATATATATATATAATATATATATATATAATATATATATATATATATATATATTATATATATATATATATATAATATATATATATATATTATATATATATATATAATATATATATATATAATATATATATATATATAATATATATATATATAATATATATATATATAATATATATATATATAATATATATATATATATATATAATATATATATATATATATTATATATATATATATTATATATATATATATATAATATATATATATATATATATTATATATATATATATAATATATATATATATATTATATATATATATATTATATATATATATATATAATATATATATATATATATATAATATATATATATATAATATATATATATATAATATATATATATATAATATATATATATATAATATATATATATATATTATATATATATATATTATATATATATATATAATATATATATATATAATATATATATATATATATATATAATATATATATATATATTATATATATATATATATATATTATATATATATATATATATATATATATATATATATAATATATATATATATATATAATATATATATATATATTATATATATATATATTATATATATATATATTATATATATATATATATAATATATATATATATATATATTATATATATATATATTATATATATATATATATATATATTATATATATATATATATAATATATATATATATAATATATATATATATAATATATATATATATAATATATATATATATAATATATATATATATATATATATATATATATATATATATATATATATATATATATATATATATATATATACATAATCTAAGATGCAATAAAAAATATCAAAACAAGTATGGCACAGGTGCGATGTGCCATGCGTTGTGCAACCATTTCAGAATCTGAACACGCGGAGTTTTTGATTATTAGTTTATGAAGAGAAATGGGTCATCTTATGAGTGTCTTCTTAATGAACTGAAAGTCAAGCCTCGAGGTTGGTTTAATTACTGAAGAATGGAGGAAAATACCTAAGTGAAATTACTCTATTGATCGAAAATATTTACATGTCGCAACATCAAACCAACCCAGCACGAACCAGAAAAAGGGAATGAGATGGAAAGGGAGAAGTAGAGAAAGTGGGAGAGGGAGATGAAGAAAGAAAGTAAGTGAGAAAGGAGGCAGAGAGAGATAAGGAGAATGAAAAAGTGAAATGGATGAAAGAGAGAGATGTAGACGCAGTGTACTCTCCATCCACATACGGTCTGCTTCCTAGGGGTTCCGCAGGGTAAAACACCCTTGCTAGGCGGTGAGATAGAACCTATGGTTAGAGCTAAGGATTATATGGCTAGAGTATATTGTATAAATACTACGGTTAGGGGGTTACACAATATAGTATATAGGAACTTATGGTATCTAGCGAGGGAGTTAGACATATAGTTAGACATATTCTATATAAACCATGGGAGTCTTAGTAACCTGTCTATGGAGTTTGGTAGTGTTCATGGTGGTGTGTGTGTTCCCATTTATTAGTTTAGTTTAGTCCATTATTTACCACCCTGGCTAACTGCACAGGCGTGGACAAGCTGTGGCACATTTAATGCATGGTCATAACATTACATAGTGGTATTACATTTGAATTTTAGCCTATAACATTGTTATGATAAGTACTTTATCAGTTCATTGGAAAGGAACAATTGCACAGTCCTTTGTCTGCTCATCTGCCACGCCGGCACATAGCTTGGGTGTGGAAAAGCATTAATACATTTGATATGCGGTCATGTGATGCTGCATTCCAAATTTAGGATACAACATAAGTATATCTTCTAAGACATCAGATGATATGAAATAGTTACATAGTTCTCCGTACCTCTTGCTAGATGGTCTGGAAGGCTGTAACACATGCTCTCTGAGATATAATGTACAAGTGTTCGTTTATATTCTTCATTACACAGTTTACACTTAGTATTAACTGTATTAACCTGCCAATACAATCTATATCCAAGCCTGATTCTTGCAGTCACAACATCTCACTGTCTTGTTCTTGTTCATATATAAACCATAGATGAATGAATCTTGCCTAGACCGGTCATAGTGCTTTATGCTACAGTTTTCAGAGCGTTGAGAATTAATCAACTCGGTCAAGTCTTCTTTGAAGGAAGCTTTAATGATGTATAAAATCCTAGAAAGCAGTATCCCGAGATCTATATCCACACTTTGTTTATCACATGCTGACTTTGCTAGGCGATCAGCATGATAACGCCTAGGGATTCCAACATGCGATGGAATCCACACAAAACGCATATTGTGGCCTCGTTCTTTTGCACGATACACGTTTATCCAGATGTCATTTGGAATATTTCCCTCTCATTTGCAATATTTCTGCTCCCAGATTGCAAGTGCAGCATTGATATGCATTGGACAGAGTTTCTGGATGCTCATTATTGGAAGTGCACACTACTTAAGTATAGCAGGAGGGACACTCTTTTTTGGGGACAGTCATATAATATACACTTAGGTCCAACATTTTCAACGGTGGCACAGAACGTCCATGTAGGGTCTTAGTTATGAGTATGTTCAGCTGAGCTAAGTGTTTACATGTTACTTGTACCCATGAATTTGAGTATGAATCGGTGTTGTCATTCAAAGTTAGCTCTTTTATTCTGTGTTTTAGTTGTCTTGTACAATGGAGGGGGTTCTCTAATTGATTTCACATTAAATGTGGTATTTATGTATAATATTCTTTTATAAACAGAAGGCAAGTTAACTTCTTGTTCTAGGGGCACCAACAATGATCCTCATGGCTTCATTTTGTACATTTTCTAAACTGGTCATCTCTGATTCCTTGAAGAATACTAGGTGCAATGCATGATAATCTATGACCGACCTTATGTATGACAAGTAAAAGAGTCTCGCAATGTTGACATTAATACCATGGTCTTTGCCGACAAGTGTTCTAAGTGGCTTCAGCCGCTCCCATAGCCTTTTCTTCAGGTTTCTGATGAACTCTGAATCATTAACAATCACCCCGAGGTATTTGCATTGGTGGCAGAGATCTAGCTGAACGTCATTTATATGAAACCCTGGCAGAAAGATTGTCTTTGGGTTAAGTGCCTTGCTTTTTTCAGTTGGGATTATCAAGCCACGCTCAGTAGCCCTTGCAGAAAGTATATATAGAATCTCTTGCATTCTCTCCTCAGATGAGGATTAAATACAGATGTCATCGGCATAGCAAATAATGGAGTCATTTGCATGCAAGTGGCCCAGTAATCTATGCATTAGGATATTACACAGCATAGGCTAAGTGCGCCTCCCTGAGGTGTGCCGAGTTCAAATACTTTTGTATGAGTACTCTTAATACCCTGTGAGGCTTCCAGGCCTCCCTTCTGCCTTCTCCCACTCCTTGGTCCCCTGTTCTCCTTCTCCTTCCTTCTACCCCATTCCTTTCTCTCCATCTCTTTCTTCTCACTCCTCCCCCCTCTCTGTTTTTCTCTCACTTGCTCCTCCCTCTTCTATTTCTCTCTCACTCTCAGTTTCTCTTTAACTCACTCCTCCCTCTCTGTTTCTCACTCACTCCTCCCTCCTCTCTGTTTCTCTCTCATTCACTCCTACTCCCTTTTGCCCCTAGCTTTGTCTACTCCAACTTTTGCCTCATTTTAGTTTCTTTTACGCATTCTCTCCTTTTACTACTTCCCTATTCCCTTATTCTGCTGTTATATATACTCTTTTTCTCTAAAACTTCTTGATCTTTCCTATGTCTGCCCTGTTCGAGAAATCTACTACCCCCTCCATCTATCGTTTTATATTCCCTTTATCTTTCCCCTTTTCTTTCTCGCCTGTTCTCTTGTTCTAGATATTTTACCTTACATTCCTACGACCCCGTGACCCACCCTTTTCATTTATCTTGCCCTTTTATCTGGCCACGGAAAATATGTAGGATCCTGGAGGAGCTACGGCAGACGGGTTGCCTGACACTCTGCCCTACCTTTTCCTATTCTATTTGTCCTTTTTGTGATGACCTTTTTGTAAACCGAAATTATTTTCTATGACAAGGAAGTCTGTTTTCAAGTAATTTTTAAAAAAATAAAATGCTATGTTTACATTTTGCTGTCGGGCAGTTTAGAAAGCGATGCATTGTATAACTAACATGCTATTCTGCTTTTTCCTTTTTATATTGCTTCTTTACGTAAATTTCTTTTGCCTTGCATTTATTAGCATTTTAGTCATGTATTTTTATTTTCATCAATTTCAGTTTCATTGCCAGTAGCGAAGACCTTTTTTTTCGTTTTGTCCTTTGTGAATTATGAAATTTGTTGGCAATTTTCCATTCATTTCCATTCATTCATATGTGTGAAAATTTTTGAATATATATATATATTTTTTATGCATTTTGTACGTTCATTTTATTTGATTTTAATGTTGGGATTCAGTCCTCATTTTTACCATAATCATTTGTATTTTTGTTTACGTTTTGTTAATTTTATTGTTTTATTTCCTATTTTTATAATCAAATTTTGCATTGTATTCCCTTTTAATAAGTTGCTACACCATGCTGTTTTTACAAATTTTATGTCAAAACTCCTCGTATATAAGGGGGCTCATCTCCACTGAATAAACGAGTGTTAAGACGAACGTGTGTTTGTGTATCCCCCTAGATCTTACAGTGCCATGGCGGCGGACCCGAAGGAGAAAAGGTTGTACATGATATGATTATTG